TATACGAATTTTCCAGACAAACCTCGTATATGAGTCTTGTTAGCAGATCCCGAAACTGTTATAATTAATGCGACTTTCGATTAATGCGTAATATATTATTCTAAGTTGCTGTAGCTTAAGGTGTGAGTGTCTCAACGAAGTTGGCTGTTCGTAGACCGGCACGTGTTTGGGACAGGATGAAAACATCATAAAATATATTTTTCAGTAGTTACTCGTTAGTAAGCGAGATCTGAACCAATGTACGATATTACTAAAATCGTGCTCACATATTACCTTTAAGTCTTCCCAATTGTTTGCTTTATAAATGACGACAGTGTCACCCGCAAAACTTATTTCGCCATCTGTTGTTAGGCTATACAGGTCGTTAACATAGATATTAAATAACATCGATCCCAAAACCGTGCCCCGAGGAATACTACAATTCAGTATATGTGAACTGCTATAACATTCAAGTATATTAGTGCATTGTTCCCTGTCCTGTAAATAACTGTTAAAGAATTTTGGGAGCTACTTCCCTTATCCCTATATGCCACATGGCATCAAATAATCTTGAACGGTCCACGGTGTTGAATGCTTTTTTAAGGTCTACAAATATCCCAAGACATCGCGTGCTTGTAAGCATTTTTATAGCTTTTTTGTGTTGACACGTTTTCTCTAAATTCATAATCCTGATTACATATTTTCATTGTATTTCTCTCTTTTTTTTATATTGAATCAGCTGCGCAGGCAGAAGTCTAAATGCCAGGACGACGCGGCTGCTATGAGGATCCCAAAGAAATTTTGTTGTTCCAATTTTTGAACTGCCCAAGGTTAATAGAACTGGGAAAAGCTTCCTCTTGTAGATTGGGGTCCCCTGTGGATTGCTGGTGCCGGAAACCATACTGCCTGTCGCTACTCAAGCCATGACATTCGAGAAAGTCCAGAAGCTCGCGATTTATCCACCTCTCCATCACGTCCATGGTGGAGTTGAAAGTAAAGATATTGGCAAGCACTTCCGCCTTGGCTACCTTTAAGTCGGTTACAATCGTTCCATCCTGACACATAAGTGGTGGAAGGCTATCTGCTCTGTGCCTAACTTTTATATAGTTCTGGTCTTTGGCATTACGAAGTGCTTCGCTATATTTGTTTCTGGACTCGACGTCGGCTTGTCTGTTCACTACAGTGGAGTCTTGTAAGAAGGTTATGTATGCCTTAATCTTCTGCTGGCGAGCAGTGTCACTCGATTTGTTGAACCAGCCGTTAGACCCTGACTTAGACACTTTCAGTATACGAGGGATGTATATCAACGTGCATAATTTTGGTTATCGCATCCGCGTCAGCGAAACAAACATCTCTCCAAGGAAAGGTGGAGAAGACGTGTCTGAGACGGCATGTCCGGAATGCCAAATTATGCGGCCTGGGCGGGTTTCTGCTGTCACAGCGGATTCTGACCGAAACCTAACATCCACAGCACCGGGGTGTGTGTTACCCAGAGGAGACAGGACAACAGTGCTGTAAGGAACAGGATGCGTGGTCAGAAAGAGAGAGCAGGCTACTGGCATGTGACGAGACGCGGGGGAAAAAACTAGGGCCCGTGACCAGCTGGATCAGCCCTTGAGTAAGAGCGAACGCTTCAATTGCACGACCTGCTGTATTGGTCTTGTTTGAGCCCAACCGAAGCTCATATAGGCATTGAAATCGTCGAGGAGAACTACCTCTGAAGCGGGGTGATTGATGTTCAAGAAGTCGATCTGGACAGCGAGGTATTCAAGTTGAGGCGAAGCCACAGAATTTCCTTCCGGTCTGATTCAAAAGAAATGTCTCTGGAGCAGGAAAGACTTCTGTGGACAAACGCCACAACTCCGCCGTTCTTTCTCAGATCAGAGTGCACCTCGTAATTTGAGAATCGGTACAGACTCTGAGATTTTTGTCTCCGCCGAGCAAAGCATGCCGGGCCGATTGTATTGCAAGTAGTGATGAACAGCATAAATGTTGCTGTTAATCCCGCAGATTTTTGTGAAATAAATTTTATCTTCGATGTTGTTCCCTCGAGTTCACCCACCACCCGGACATTCTGAGGGTGGAGGGAGTTAACATCCGGAATTCTTAGTACTCGAGGGATCCATCATCATTCATTTCTTTGTTGGGGAAGATGACCGACTGCGTAGCTTAGGCCCGTATCGTCAGTCGTCCCTAGAATTGTATGGCCTCCTTGATTGTCATACACCTTTCTCTCCTTCAAAAATTTCTAGATTACACTTGTCCCGTGTTAGCGTCAGCGTTCTCCTATTGTGAAGATATGTTTTCTTTTTAATTTGTAGGAAATTTCAGGCTGATAAAACATGATATAACTCAAAAGCAAGCACAATGTGATGCAAATAGATGTTTGTGACATAACCTCAAAATAGAGTTCTGACACGGAGAAGTAGAAAACTATGACAATCAAGGAGGCCATAAAGGCGCACTACAATTGTAGGGACGACTGACGATACGGGCCTTAGGTGAGGAAACATGCGGATATTTATAAGACACCCTGGGAAAAGTTAGCGGGTGGTACCGCCTCGGCCGAAAAATCGTTGTCTAACACCTTCTTTTTGCATGCTAATAATGTTAAATAGACCTAAAGTGGCCCGTTGGCAGACTTTCCGCCACCCGGCAATCGGTACTGAGGTATTCTTTAACGCATGTACAATCACTTGAACGGGAAGAAGTTGTATACTGAATACAACAACTTCCGGAACAAGCATTTGCCACGGCCTCGCTCAGTATTCTGACTTTTATGGCTTTTCGACCATTTGAGATAAGTTAACTCGATACTTGAAGACCACATTTTCACCTCCTGTTTTATGTATATGGGTATGACAACTGCCGTTTCTTTGGCTTTCGGAAAGTATCCAGTGTTAAAAATCCAGTTTATGAAGAAACATAGACGGCTGACTATTTCTTCTGTCATAAAAGTATTATCTAAACAACTTCATTATTGGACACGTAATATATAGAGTTGATTGTGTTTTTTTAGGAAAACTGTCAGTTGGGCTAGTCGTTGTTTTTATCTTTTCAGACAGGCTTTGCCCGATATTTCACGGAAAATTTGTCCTTTTTCGTCTTTTATTTGGTTTAACTTTACTGTTTTTGAAGGATTCATTTTGTTTTGACTGTTTTTATTTCAGTTTGAAACTACTCCTTTTTTGCTTTTTGCACATCCATGCTGAACTTATTCTTTATTTTTTTGTACTCGTCTTTTTTCTCTTCTGTAGGACTGACTTGCATTTGCCTATAAAGACTACTTTCTTCTGTTCGCATTTAATAGCTTTTGTATCATCCATGGATTACCCTTTTTATTGGTGTTTTTTATTTTTACCTTATTTGTGCTAGATTTGCTAATGTGTATGATTATATTTTTTAATTCGGTAACAGCTTCATCCAAGTTATTTGCCGAGATACACCCACCCACTACTCTCTCGATACGCAGTTTATTTCTATCGAGAGGTTATATTATTCGTGTTGCGTTTTTCTGTTTTCTTTCCAAACTTTGCTATACGTATAGTGGTAGAGTAATGATCTGTCAGGTATAGCAGTATTAATTTAATTGGCTCATTCCAAAAATCTATTTCCAAATCTAAGATGTTGAGTTCATGTACAACAGAAATCTTGTGAGATATTGGATTTATAGATTCCTTAACATCCACTACAACACCTTCGCTTTGGTTTTAGTTCCCATTATTATAAAACCTGGTGTACCCATGTATTTGAAATAAAGCTATATCACTGATTTTCGATGTTTCTGTTAGAACAATGATGTCGAACTCTATGTGGATAATATCCAGTAGAACCATGAGCTGATCAAAATTTTTGTTAATACTGCACATGCTTGTATGTATATTTTGTTTGGTCCATTTTCCAGTTAGATTGACCTGTGAAATCTTGAACTGTTGGTGTGTATATTTCTGTTACTTGGTATTCCTTGATATATTTAAATATCTCGACACTGTTGCGTAATTAGTAAAATAAGGGGTCTCAAAAAAATTAAATTAGTTTAGTAACTATTGAGCAATCTGGCCAAGCATAGCGTAGCAGTGGGATTGATTACACGAACAAGAAAAACTTATGTAAAGAGACTCATTAAAATGTACGATTTATAAACATACAATAAAATACATAAAATAGAAGTGAAATGAATAAATGTATCACATTAATTTCTTAAAATTCAGAAATGCACCTATCTATCCTAAAAACTAAGTCACAAAGTGAGAGAAAAGAAATAATGGTAGCAAAACTAGGAAGAAGAATCGCAATATGTGTATACATACAAACAAGTCCGAGTTGACTATTTGCTTGAACATTCATCATATCTTAGATTTTACTAATCATGCAGACAAATTAATTACTCAACTAGTAAAGATTTCCTTCATTATAAGAACAATTACTTACAATTTATAGGGAAAAAGCACAACCTTAAGCAGTTTCTTTGCCTTTGGTGTGCCTGTTCCCAGAATTGTACAAAAAAGTGCTTACTCTACAAAGACGAACTATTATATATATAACTAGAACCAATCCTAGATCTACATGCAAAAATTTATTTGTGAATCTTTAAATGATTTCTGTCGCATCATTGTTCATTTTAGAAACAGTAACTCTTATTTTTAATAATGAATATAAATTTGAAACATAAATATAAGTTAAAATATTAGACGAAAACAAGATGTATCTCCCTGATGTTAGCAAAGGAATTAACAATTTAAAGTTCTACGTTCTAACTGCTACAATTCACCTACTTAAGATCCACTTCTATAATTATTATAGTTTAAAGTTAGCTTTGTCATCATGAATGATTGTATTCATCAGACAATAAAGTATATCTATCTATCTATTGTAAGGATTTCTAATATTTCATAGTTCATATATTGGTTTTATTTTGCCATCTTGCTCACTTTATATACGATACTTCCTGTTACCCCGCACCTCTTCTTAATACGCCCAAAATCGGTTTGTTATGAAGTAGTGAAAATAAATGTGATTTTAGTGGTGTATGACGGCTGCCCTCGCAGTGCCGCCTTCGGCATTTGGTGGCCCCGTACGGCGTTCGACTCGGAAGCAACCGAGGAGTGTCCTAAAGGTGCCCACGGTAAGGCATCCAGACGGTGCGATGACAAACTGGGCGGTTGGCAACAGCCGGATCTTTTCAATTGTACTTCGGAGAAGTTCATGGAGCTGAGAGAGCAACTCGGCAACATCAAACGCGGTCAGCTGCAGGTGACCACTTTTGTGGCGGTCAAGTTGGCGTCGGATTTGAAGAAGGCGGCGACCGATCCTAAGCTCGCCGGTCGTCTATATGGCGCCGATGTACTTGTCACGTTCGAGTTGCTGAGGTTAGTTGTATTTAATAATAATAATAGTAAATCGTCTTTATTTAAGGTGCGAAGTTTAGCATAATGCTACTCTGCCACTTAACTTATTTAGTTTAATAAAAGAGAGAGATGGTCATAAGGAGACAAAATTAGTGCATTCAGCTAACATAAAGCGGTCCAGCGGTGTAGCTTAATAGCTTTAGCCATGAGATAGATTTGTCATTTTGCCAGCAGTTTGCACTTGACTGCCGGATTTGATAGTTTATTGGGTAGATGTTTCGAATTACCAAAGCTATTCATGGCTTTTACTATTCAGCATAAAAGCGCTGCACCGTCGGTCCGCTTTACGTTCGCTGAATGCAATGAATGATGTTTAACCATGTTAACCCTTAACCGGAAAGGTGCCGTCTGTGAGACTGCGGCGTTTCTATACCTGAGCGTATCTTTTTTTATTGCACCTCTAACAGACGTAAAAACCCATCTAATCCATAAGCTATTAGTGACCATCGCCCACCCCCATTCACACGAGTCTAGCCAAAACGTGCCTTAAAATATGGACCAATTTTAGTTTGTTGCAGTCTGTCAGACGGCACGTTTCCGTTCCCGTTTGCTATTTGTGTTGCATAGGTGCGTTTGCGAGTATGGCGGGACCTTCTAAACGAGTACGATACGATGATCCGGAGTTCGAAGAAACCGTTCTAAAATGGTTTGAGGATGAAGGAAGTGACTTTAGTGATATAGACAGAGCCTCAGAAGACGAATACATGGAATCAGATCATACAAGTGATAGTGAGTTATCAGAAGACGGAGCCGAAGGAAATGAAGAGGATTTACCAGCTCAGAATTATTTCTATGGAAAAAATCGTCATAGGTGGAATATTTCGGAAGTTGTACCATCATCACGTACAAGGAAGCACAATATAGTCATTAAAGTACCAACTCTAAGAGGAAAAGCTCATGAATATGGAGAAGAAGCAGCTCCGTTGACGGTTTGGCAGCTTTTGTTCACTGACGACATGTTGGTACATATCGTTAAGTGGACCAATCACAAGCTCAAAGAAATGCGAAATAGATACAAACATCAAACCAGCAACCTAAACGACACTGATTTAGTCGAAATAAAGGCACTATTGGGTCTCTTAGTATATACATCGGTGTTCAACAGCAACCACGAGAACATTGAAACACTTTTTGCCACCGATGGCTCTGGAAGAGATATATTCAGAGCTGTCATGAACATAAAACGATTTGGTATTCTCCTGTCAGCCTTAAGGTTTGATAACCCAGATGACAGGAATGAAAGAAAGAAGCTAGATCCAGTAGCACCAATATCTTTCATTTTTAATAGTTCTATAAAGAACTGTCAAGATGTGTACGGAGTTGGCCAGTCTGTCACTGTCGATGAAATGCTCGTGAGTTTCAGAGGAAGATGTCGATTTAAAATGTATATGCCTGCGAAACCTTGCAAATATGGCATAAAAATTATGGCATTGACGGATGCAAGGAATATCTACCTCTATAACGCATATATATATACTGCGGTAAAGATTCCAATAGTTTCGAACTTCCTGAGGAACACAAGCGGTATTCCAAACCCACACAATCAGTTCTACGTCTCGCGAAGCCTCTGTTTGGAACTAATCGCAACATTACAGCGGACAACTGGTTTACGTCAATAGAATTAATGGATGTCCTATTGAAGAACAAACTGACCTATGTGGGTACAATGAAGAAAAATAAAAGAGAAATTCCTCCGGCATTTTTACCCAACAAATCAAGAGAAGTCGGATCAACAATGTACGGATTTCGAGAAGATTCCACTATTGTGTTTCATGTAAGCAAAAAAAATAAAGCCACAATACTCATATCTTCTATGCACCACAGAAAATATTGTGATCCGGAAACACAGAAACCGGAAATAATAGCCTATTACAATGCTAATAAAGGTGGAGTTGATTCTCTTGATGAAAAATGTTCGAAGAGTACCTCAAGTCGCCGTTCGCGTAGGTGGCCACTGGTTATTTTCTACCGACTATTGGATATATCGGTAGTGAACTCGTATATTTTACACCAGTGCTATAAGAAAAATGAATTGCAGATTGCAGAAGGAAAAATCGGTATTTGCTAAGATGTTGGCCGCTAACCTGGTCCGTGAGCATATGGAAAAGCGACTAGAGAGTCCCCGTTTACCTCGGGATTTGCGACTTACGATAAATCGCATCCTTGGCAAATGTGAACATCCAGCAACAGAAGCTGAAAATTTGGTTTTGGAAAAAAGGAAAGCCTGCTTTTTATGTCACCGAACGACCCATCGGATGACCAAATTTTTGTGTGTACAATGTAGGAAGCCTGTATGTCTTCAATGCTCCAAACCCAAATGTATTAGCTGCATAAATATAGGCAATGTTTGAGACTTGCAGTGAATTTTGATTGTGTTCTTTTTGTATTTATTGACTATAATATACTTTCCTTGTTCATTACTTAACTAGAAAATAGAAAAATATTGAGACTTTTCCATAGTTTTAATTTAGTTTCTGAATGTTGCAACAACAGCGTTATTTTTGTATGGTTTTAGCATAGTTAATAAAAATGTTTCTTTTATGTTCTTGTATCATTTTGAAATGAGCATTTTACGTATTAAACACATAAAATAAACATCCAGTATCAGTTTCAGCGAAGTTATTGCTTGCTTTTCGCCTTACTCTAATTTTTTGAACATCTTGAAGTTCGCAGTCTGAGAGACGGCATGTTTCCTTTTGTGTTCCAAAAATTCACATTTCCTGTTAAGGGTTAACCGTGTTGAACAACATGCCAAGATCCTATAAGCATACGACCTGAAATACTCCATTATCAAAATACAGGTCGTTGAAGATGTCTAAGTACTTGATGAGACTCTTTAAGGACGAAACATGAATATTATTCTACTAAACGCTATGGTGAGGTGGGATAGCTACATACAATTATTATGTCAAACTTTATTAGCTTCAGTATATTCTCAAACTAGAATGGACGTTTTTTCATATGGATGTCTCTAATATCCTTTTTGAAAGAAAGTGTTTGACACCAAATTTCCTAATATAGACAACTTATATCAAATTGAATATTTTATTTGAAAAGAGAATAGGTTTTTCATTAGCGTAGAAAATATTTTTCTTTTCGGTTCTATATGGGTCGCACTAATGTAGTCAGAGCTGTAAAATTGAACGTAAACACTTATGTGGAGCTGGTTGCAATGCTGATGGTCATTGCGGTGCGTCACCTGAATAGAGCTATCGAATTTCCTCCCCTGCGCCTGTTCAGTATCAAAACGCAGCAAGTAGAAGTTAAACATGGGAGCTTGCAACAGATCCATTAACAAACACTAGGATCAAATATGTCAGTGCTGTCCTCTTTTTACAACAATTTTATAGTTATAATTTATAGTCTGTCCTGTCTCATGAGCGTGTGATGCCAAAAAGTTTAGTTTAGTATAATTTTTATGTAATGTGATTCCACCTTTTATTGATGTAGAACATTTGATCAATACATACTAAATCACAATCATTGCAAAGGATACTGTAAACAACATCGGCTAAACTTAGTAACGGTCTTTTGTCATTCATCTTAGAGAAAACACTATTAATTGTTAATTCAGATACACGCTACTTTACAGTTTAACTGTCTACAAATTTTGATAAGTTTCGGAGTGAGATCATTAATATATGCCAATACTCCAAAACTTGTTGTTGTTAAGAAGAATCAACATTTTGATGAACATCTGGAGGGATAATGTTGTATGAGTTCTGTTCATTATTGTCATTGTTAATATTATCAGAATTGCGAATAAGATTCCCAGTTAACTTCAGTACTAAAAGGCATTCTGTCCTAGGGTAACCAGTATTTATGAATAATTTGGTATATTTAATACTTGAAAGGAGATATTAGCTGTGGATATATGTTCATCTACTTCACCAAGTTGGTCTCAATACTAAGGTTATGGTACGACTTAAAATTCAGAAATCTGCCAGAGGCCAGGTTTTCTGTTCCAGCAGGTATCCCTAGCTTAAAAAATAATATTAACTTTCACCTCCTATTCCAACCTCTTCAAGATCTAATCTGTATTGTCTTTTTTCCGGAAGATTCGTCGGAATGTAACTGAAGCATCGTTCCTATGTGTATTGGGGTATGCCAGCCGCATACTGGGTTTGACCCCGGGGTATTACGTATCATGAAAAATGGACATTAGGTCGTTTTTTTTACATTAAATAGTTTTTTTTGTGACATTATGTATGTTATTCTACAGAATTTCAACACGTTTTTTCATATGGATTTCTCTGATATCCTTTTTGAAATTCGCTTTCCGTATATTTAATGAAAATACGATGAATTCGTAGCATCTTTAGATTTGTCACTAGGAATGTATGTAATACGTTAAACTTCCACTAGTTGCGTTTTACTACTGAGCCACGCGGAGGGAGGAAATTCGTTGGTTCTATTCAAGTGACGCACCACATTCACCATTAACATTGTGACTGAGCTCAAGTGTCAATAGTCAAACTTTTCGTTAGTAAATGCATATTTTACTTTTGTATGATTTTTTGACGCTTTTATTGAATAATAAAGAAAAATATAAAGGCTTTTTCTATGACGCGAAGTGTATAAAAATAAATCTGAGTCTTTTTAAATAGGAATCTTGTGGACTATGAACGATCTCGACGCGGCCTTGATCTATCTCATAGCCAAGATAAAGACTACGTAGGTGACGCGGTGCAGTCTACTTCTGTGGTGTTGCACGAAATGTACGCTGGGCATTGGATCCGGGTCAGAGAACTAACAGGTGAAGGGCCTGAAGATTTAGTGGCAGATATATATCGCTATCTGCAGGTATTGGCTGAAAGTCAAAGGGATACTTACACCACTCCCTTTGAGATCGTAGCGCCAGATATGGGTATGTGAACGTTCCTTTCTGTATGTATGCAACTTTGTTGAAAATAACCTAAATATATGAAAAGTACAAGAGGAAAAAAAGTCAAAAGTACAAGTGCAAATTGTTCTATAAAATGGGAGTCTCAAATTCGTGAAAGATCTGTGCGGTTCATGAAAAATTTTCAGAATATTTGAGTAACAATTCAAACCTGATTCAAATCTAATCAACATCTAAGTAAAATTCCTTCCAAGGAACACTATTTCTAAAGCTCTCGTAAAAATTGGCCTAGTAGTATTCAAGATTTCCTGGAGTATTTTGGAACATGATAACTGGACGTTTTTGACCTACCATCATATGAGGTTTTTTATTAAAATCAAATAACACCCAGAATATTTTCAGTGATTTCGGAAACATTTTGCTCAAGTTCGTAAGCGGCGTGAAAACCGATTGAATAATAAAATTCACTCGAAAAAATACGGATTATTAATCCGTGGTATATTCCCATGTAACATGTTTTGATAAAAATCTATATATTATGCTCTGTATACTCAACGTCTCTAAACACCTATTCCCTGAAATCGTTATCATCTGCATCATATATTTCAAAACGGAAAGCTAATTAGTACTTTCCATCTTATTTTTTTCCGATTGAAACGACCTATCCAACAGTATATCACTTACTGTTGGTGTCGATATGAAATACTCATGCTCCTTTGATATTGTAAAGTGAACATATAATGCCCGGTTGCACCGCCATGCTATGTCGACCTGAAACTAAGCTGATCCTGAATTTGATGTTTTTGTTGCATCAAACCCACCTGAATTTTAACTAGAGCTTGAATAAACATATAAGTACAAAGTATCCTTCTGTTTAAGGTGGAATATTTTGAGTTCTGATAACATGACATTTGCCGAGAAAGATATTCTGTTCTTATTCAGGCTAATTGACGACAGGGTGACATTCCCTCATAATTTATAAGGATATATCATGTATTTATAATAATGGTCACTACCATCAAATACATCAACTTTGCTTACTTGCTTATTGAATTGCAGTGCGAAAACTGTGACAAATTGTGATAGATTTTTCATTTTTATACACATACATCCAAGTCAACCATCAATTAATAGTTGCAGACGTAATTCCCCTAAAATGTAATAATCCTACAGATTCACTGTTGCCAGATGTAGCTTTATCTTAGCAATGTTCTTACAAAATCGAAGTGGTGCAACTGAAACCTAATTTGTGCTCGACCTTAACATACGGATCACGTTCACTAAGCGGTAGATTTGAGAAAGGTGGTACAATCGAGCATTAGATTCCAAAATTAATTTATACCATTTTTGTCTTCTTTCGTATTTAGTGCTGGGTCTGGACATAGTGACCCCTGAATCAGTATACGGTTGGGAGCCAGCGCATCTACCGCCATTGTACCCCGGCCATAGTTATTCTACTGAGAGCGTGATCCTACCAGATACTTCTCTCTTCTTGGAACATAACTCAAACGAAAGCCCCACCATTTCGCAGCATTCATCTGAGAATCCTTCCATCGTATTTCCGAAGTATAACAACTATCTGTTAAACGCCAGCAAGTTCGATCAGCATACTAAGATAGTGGTACCGCTATCGTTGCTAGGTGAGTAACTACATTGAGAAGAAATATTATTCAGGACCGATTATATTATTGAATTGCGGATTTAATGAATGTCGGCGCAAAACCGACCAATCAGAAAGCGTTTTTGAAGTAATGGAGTTCTGAATGTAGTCGATTTTTACCAAAAATCTTTCTAAAACTAGCGGAACATTTATACAACGTATAAGAAGAGCATCTAAACACAAAAAATAACATTTTTTTAAATCTGTCAGAAGTAATATATCACTACGGCCAATAAAAAAATCCTCAACCATTGCTCGGACCATGAATTAAATAAATGAATGTCCAGTTTTGAAATAACCTAACCGATATGTATTGTATTTAGGGATAAAAGGGCTGGATATAGGAGAAGTGTCGACAATACGGAACTCGTTTCCTGAAGAGGGCGCTGTATTCAGCTATGCCGAATATCGTCGGGCGGGAGCACTATTTCCTGCTTCATATGATGACTCTGTAGCCAGAAGATGGGGTGTCGATGTTACTGTTGCTTCCCCATTGCTTTCAGTCACCATTCTTGTGCCCAGGTAGGAGCAATATCATTTTATTGTCAGGGAGACGTGGGTTGTGAAACTTTGGTGTTTTTTGGGCCAAAACTTTTAGCCATCTGCGACGAATGAAATCTATATTAATAGTTTGCTCAATGGCAAGTAGACCGTATCTGCTATAGGACCAGAATCGGCGGCATCTACCGGCCACAGTAGTTATCTGGCTGACAGTGCGAACTTGGATACAGTTCCAACAGTCAGCTTGCTGTTTTCACTTTCGCAGTGGTCGATTTAGGTAAAAGATGACACTTTGTGCACTGTGTGTAAAAATTATAGGTATTTAAAAAAAACAGAAATTTCACACCATACGGCAGTCTGTTAACTCCTGTTGATACAAATACTAACTTTTTTGAATTTCATTTTTACAGTGTAATGATGAATAGTGCATCTTAAACTGGTGGTCTCAACTTTACTGCCAACTTTTCTAGTTCAGAGGAAATTGACACTTTTTTCCAATCAAGTATTCCAAATTAGAACTTCGCTCAGCTTTAACTGACTGTACTGGAAAAAAATTACTACGAGAGTTTGGCAAGTAACTTTAAAAGATGGCTCATTTAATAAAGATTCTAAAATGGTATAACACTTGGAAGATTATTCGTTGAATTATGCACAATTTTTATTTAAAGATAAACACAGTTTTAAACCTGTCTTTAATTACATGAGTTAAATAAAGATTAGAACATTTTAGTTTCCCGAGGCGTATGTTACTAAGCGTGAAAGAGTCAGAAACATTATTTTCAGATAGTCCAAGGTCATCACCAAATTGCATTGACTTTCTTAACTAGAAATGTTTCAAATCTTTAAATAAGAATTCTATAATTTGCCTTAATTAAACAGCAATCATTAAAACGAACAGGGATACTTAAAGTTAACTGTTTGCACAACAGTGGGCGTCAAAGAACTGCTGATGATGATTTACATTTACAGCAAATGCTCAAATTGTTTTCCTTCAGCCGCAATACACGCTCGACATCTTCTTCAAAAGATCGGTTTATTAAACGAGCGAATCTACGGTTATTAACAAATTCAACTGCTACTGTTAATCTTTGCCGTAGCTTAGTTACATTTTCAATACGCATGAAATACACTTTTTCTTTTACAGTTCCCGAGTAAAAAAATCTAAAGGATTCAAATCAGGTCACCGGGCCACGGTATTGTACCAGACCGCCCTATCCATCTTCCTGGAAAGCTTTAATCGAGATACTCTCCTCGTGCATAATGGGCTTGGCAGCGATCATGCTGCAACCACAAGTCACTGTAAATACTGACTGGCACGTCTTCTAATAAATTTTGTAAATGATTTTGCAAAAAATCTAAATAAACTTCAGCAGTCAAAGTCTCTGGGATTGTTTTACCATTTAAAATTCGTGTCCAATGGTTTATCTTGGAGCAATTTTGTGATTTATCTTCTCTCAGCAAATGTGGGTTTGCTAAGTGCCACTCGTGTAAGTTATGCAGGTTCATGTACCCATCTTTCTTAAATGTGGTCTCATCCGACCATAAAACTTTTTTTAAAGAACTGTGGACCTTCATTGTGTCTTTCTAACATTATGTGGCAACAAGCAACTTGGGGCTCATAATCCCAGGACAGAAGAGCTTGTACTTTTGGGCACACCTGTTCTTAATTCTATTGCACGCACTGAAGTACTCGGGTCTTCTTCGACAGCTCTTAGCACAACGTCCTTTTAAGAAAGGGAAGATCTTCCCTCACCGTATGATTGGTCCAAATGCAAAAGTAGTAAAAGTAGGAAATTAACACGAACGAATAGGGAAAGATACACAGTAAACGAAGGAGCGTTACGTACGGATCGGTATCAAAGTGTGCAATAGCAATTAACATAGCGTGACTATCTGCCTCGTTCACACTACGTGAAATGGCTCTCTTCATTTCAATCAAACTAGAATAAAAGCCTTGGGGAGAAAGAATGATTATAATATTTATTTTAACTCATTTGAGTAAAAACTGGTTTAAAACTGGGTTTTTCTTTAAATAAAAATTGTGCATAACTTGACGAATACTCTTCTAAGTGTTATACCATTTTGGAATACTTATTAAATGCGCCAAGATTACTTGCCAAACTCTCGTAGTACATTTTTTCCAGTACAGTCAGTTACAGCTGAGGAAAGTTTTAATTTGGAATACTTGGTGGAAAAAAGTGGCAATTTCCTCTGAACTAGAAAAGTTGGCAGTAAAGTTGAGACATCAGTTTAAAGATACACTATTCATCATTACACTCTGAAAATAAAATCCAGCATATTTGTATTAACAGGAGTTAACAGACTGCCGTAGGGTGTGAAATTTCTAGTTTTTCTTTAAATACCTATAATTTTTAACAAACATACCTAAGATTATTTAAATATTTTTCTGATAACTATTATGACTTTGCCTATCACCCGGTTTCGGCTTGACGTTGACTTCTGGGACACCTTGTATACCATGCTGGAGGGTTGACATAGAGCACGATACAGCCGTCTGTGGTCGGACGAACGAAAACTATATTACTAACAAAAAACGCGGCTTTACGAGGGTATCGCGAATATATTTTTTTAAATATATGAAAAATGAATGTAGTTTTTTGTTTCCACACCTTCAATTCAATACTGCCATAAATGCAACTTTTACAGATCTTAAGTTATGGTCTATTTCACCTTCAAAAGCATCAAATGAGATAAAAACGTACTTCATAAATGTATAAAAAACACTTTTATTACATAGGGTAGCAACAGTAATCGCTTGACAGCATTAAAAAGATCCTTTATCTCAAATATCATATATTTGCAGTTATAGCAGTATTGAATTGGAGGTGCGATATATAGAATATGAATGTAGGTTTCTACAAATAATTTATACGACAAATGCTTTTCAGGATTTTTTTATTTTCATATACATTACATTTACATTGGTTTCTTGAGATGGTTTCTACAGTTCAACATATAGGAGTTCTATAACTTCTATACGTTGTAAGGTTTTTACTCTCGACCATGCAACATAAGTTAAACCAACACAAGTTTATTTTTCTCGTATGCCTAATATTAATCCTTAAACTTATAAATGGTGATTTCAAAAGCCAATTGTAATAGAACGGATTATAGTTATGATTTTACAGAATTTGATTATGAGTGATATTGGAATACAGCCGCTATTGTCATATGAATGAGAAGTATTCATAATAATTTTCACGCGAGAGATCACGTTTCACCACTCGAGCTCAGCTCTGACTTTCGGTTGCGGTTTAATTCCCGCTCTTTACGGCCAGCTCACGTACGTCTACGAGTCATTTTGAAACAGTAACATTGAAAATATTTGACTTTCTGACATTAAAAGTTATGCTATATTATTTGGATAGCATTTCCATGTTTCTATTGCAAGTACTTAAATAACTATATGGTACTACGTTTGATAAATGCTCTAAGCCTTAAAATTTTACTCGCCCATCCACGATGGATCCTATTCATCATAAAACATAAACAAAGAAAGAACGACAACGTAACAATTTCATACTAACAGTTGTGTGTATGTGTGTGTGTGCGCGCGCGCGCGCGCAGAGAATGGCAACGGAACCTGGTGTCCATTTGGCACAAAATGATATAGACCATAGACCTCATTAGGAGTTACTTTCGAAATAAATTTGAAAAATATGTACCATATATATCAACTTCATATATTGAGCTTTATCATTTTTAAAAATTTTATTATCAAAATATAGATCGATTTGTCGAAAGATGCTAAGATGGTGGTAATATTTAAGGTAACTGCAATCCGTGCTGCAACATTTGCTGAATAAATTGATCGGAAGTATTAGAATGCAATTTACATGCACAAATATACGGTTTAGATCCGCTTCAGAGTCACCATCACAACTACAAAGTGGAGAATCTGTCACACCTATTCTATGGAGGTGAGCAGGGAAACAGCCATGATTTAGCTTTAGTCTAGTTATGGTGGACGAACACTTCCTATTTGAATAAAATTTGTCTATGTGAGGGACATGTCTTGGAAGAATAGGGTGCAGAAGTGTGTAATGGTTGTGAGATTCCGACACAAAGTCGGACCAGATCGAGTTCCATCTCTTTTTGACGTTCCCTTTAATTCCTATGTATGAATCAGAGTAAACTAGAGGAACTGGAGGAACATTCGTGATAGTATTCATCTTTTGCAGCCTTGTCTACTTTTTCATTGACTCTGACGCCGGCATGCCCTTTAACCCATACAAAGTTTATATGTGTTCTTTTGGTATTGCAAGTTACAAGCAAATTCCTAATGTTACATACCAAGGCATTATTATATGACTTGATAGGGTTACTTCTAATTGTCTCTAAGTCTGACCTAGAATCTGTGACAATCGCAGCATGCGAGATATCTTGCTCCAAGCACCATGTTAACGTTTGACGGATAGCAAAAGCTTCCGCAGTAAATATCGAAAAAAAAAATCGGAGATATGAAAGCTGTTACAATTATTTATGAGTGGAATGTAGAAAGCACAGCCAGTGCCCATCTCACTTACAGAGCCATCGGTAAACATGTTATTCCGACAATTAAGATCTGTCAATAAGGTTGATAGGACGGTCCTATTACAGTTAGGGTTTTCTGTATGTCTGCATTACGATACTTGTTTCGTTTAAAAATACTTCATATGTACAATTATATAAAGGATATGTATCTAATTCTAGAGATTACTGGTAACAACGAAAGCCTCAGCCAGCATAGGTGAACATTTCTTGGCCCAGAAGTTATTAGTATAGTCTTCTGTTGTTAATTCTGATATTTTGTCCAACAGAAATTTGTTACATGACCTGTACTTTACAACCATTCTCTCTGCAAAGTACCGCCGTCTTAGAGTGAGCGGAGGTTCCTTTGCTTCAGCTAAAACAGCTGGACACGGTGGCGATCTCATGATTCCCATGCAAATTCTCAAGGCTTCCAGCTGTACTCTATCAAGTTTTTGTAAATGGGACTTAGTTGCTGAACCATATAGCAC